TTCAGTGGATATTCTTTCAATTTTAATATGTCCACTGCCTATTCAAGACTGTCTTGAGAATTAGACAGGTGAGTTATTATTGAAATAGACACCCTCATCCTTAATCCCAGAAGTCACTATAAAACTAAGCTTCTTGGAATCAAACTTGAGTGTAGAAATGTGAATCCTCTAGGGTAACAAATGTCAGATAGTCCAGTCTGACAAGTCTTTATATGGAAAATTTAAAGTAGAAAAATGAAACAAAGTATTTGAATAGACACATACTTAGGGCATTTCTGAACACAAAAGATGAATCAAAAATAAATAGAGAGAGATGAATCAAAAATAAATAGAGAGAGAGATAGAGAGAAAGAGAGAGAGAGAGAGAGAGAGAGAGAGAGAGAGAAAGTAATCCCATATGCTATATACAAAAGAATGACAATCAATTGATCATTAGCCATATCTAGAAGCAAGAAGAGCCGTAACTTCAAAGTTATGAGGGCAAATTATTTTTAACCAATAGTTCTACGCTTTGGGAAATTATCAACTGATGTTGGGTGTAAAATATATTTTCAGGTCTCTTATGACTCAAGGAGTTTGCTGCTTGCCCATTATCACATTTCTAGAGATGCTGACATGTGAAACTGGCAGGTAAATATATTCCAGGGGAGAAAAGTAAGCAATTTAATGAGATATATAATAAAAATATAATTAACACTGATAATCCAAAATTTTTTCTTAAGAAAGAACATTGATGACATTTAATTTTATTCATTCCCTTGTAGGCTCATAGTTCTTGATTCCAAAGTAACATACTTATTAAATTATAATAGTATAAACGTTATTTTTAATGTGACGTGGGGCTTATACCTGTGCAGTTTCAAAGTCTGTGACCAACTGTCAGGTAAATTTAACCACTTGGGGGTTCCAATTGTGCCTTTTTTTTTTTTTTTACCATTTACTAAGCCATGTTCTACCACTTTATTGAAAATATGACTGAAAGTTTGATTTCCAATTGACTATTTTGTTAGTCAACAAGTTCTGAACTTAGGCAAAGAAGAGAGTTTCTATTTATTGTGCCCTAAAATACCCCAAACTAAGTACAATTTGGTGAGGTGAACCTCATTCAGAAACCAGTGTTTTTGGGGGCACCAGGCCATGTAAGTTTTAAGTCTTACGGGACCTTCTATCACTCCATACAGTGTTATTGTAGCTCACTGTAATCTCAAATTCATGAGCTCAAGCAATTTTCCTGTCTCAGCCTTAGGAGTAGCTAGGTTACATGCACATGCTATCATGCCTGCCTAGCGTATTTTTATTTTTTTAGAAATGGAGTCTCACTCTGTTGCCCAGGCTAGGTCTCAAACTGCTGGGCTTGAGGAATTCTCCCACCTCAGCCTCCTGAACTGCTGGGATTACAGGAACAAGTCATCATTCTGGCCCATGTGGTTGGCTTTAACTGGCCATCCTGACCAAGAAGCTTTTAGGTTAATACATAGGCTGCAGAGCTAAGAATGGTAAATACATTCTTAAGGATAAGGGTAAAAGGTATAAAAGAAAAGAGGTGAAATTTTCAGGTCTGGTTGTTCTAAATGTCTTAGAAAAGGAGAAGAAACTTATTTTGTTAAATAGGAAAAGGTGCCTGGAGTTCAAAGAAATCAAACAGAGAGTGGTAGATAAGATCTCAAAGAGTCATGGCATCCCCAGAGGAAGTCCACATTGAAAAAACTATAAAGAATTATAATATTAATACTGACAAATGACTCACCCCTTAAATATCAGGAGAGCTATGCCAGAAGGCTACAGAGAGACTGTTCAAGTTTTAAAGGCAAAAACCAAGAAAATTATTGTGAGGCATTCAAAGAATTACTAGTTGAGTTTTAGTTTGACACAATTATTATAGGTTAAGTATACTCTATATAAATTTGCTGGAGAAATTTATGGAATTAATGCTTTAAAGAAAAGTACAGCAAAGATGAGGCATAATAAAGGCAAACTAGGCAGACCAACAATAGATTGACTTTAGGCCTAGGTTAGATGTCAAAAGACCAGCAACTGTTTAATAATACCGAAGATGGTAAAGATGGACAAACAAGATTTTCATGACTAGTGGGTGGTTTAGCAGATTAAATATCATTGATTTCCTATTTCTCATCATAAGACAATAGAGAGAAATAGAAGCAAAACTAATGCCTGGACCAGAAAGCAAAGAAAAAGTAGAATTAAAGTAGGAATGTGAATCTTGTAAGTTGCATGTGTGTTAAATTTACTGGATGGTAAGTATGCCTCAAATTAAACCTTTGTTTAGGGCTGCCAACTTACAAATTTCTGAACTTTGAAAGAATTTGGAATGTCTCAAATGCTGTTCTCTGAAAGTAACTCCCCCATATGGCTTTTTAAAAAACATACCATAATTAAATCCTCTAGAGAGTTCTCCCAATTAAATTTAAAGTTACAGACTGTCAATTCTAAATAGCTGCTATCCTAGCAAATTTGAAAATAAGATATTGTCTAGTTCTGCTTATCCTCGCAAAGACTAATGAACCTCTGCTATGAAATTTGGGACACTGAGCGTAGCTCTGTTAAGTACTAAGCCCTGGAAACATCATTTTGCTGGGCCAATGGATAGAATGTAGAAACAACTGATAGAATATCACAGGTTGTAACTGTGCATGTACAATCTATAGCATTTTACATTATGAAAAGGGTTGCTTCATTTATTGTTTTTATTTATTTTTAAAATAAAATGTACTTAAATTATTTTTCATCTTGATAGAAGGCTAGCAAACATGAAATTTGAACACAGATAAGAGTGTAACCCATTAAAGTGCACTGAAAGAGGATATGGTTTCTTTAAAAAGAGAAAATTGAAATTGTTTAAATGAAATTTTAAACACTTGGAAAAATTCAAGAATAAGCTGTCAACATTTAGAAATATTAATAATTAACAATAACATAAAATTCAATAGAGATTAATTTTGAAACCTTGTAATTTAAAAGTAATTTTTCTATCTCTGTTAAAACTCTTTATATGAAGACAACTTACTCTCTGGTAAACCAGAAATCAAGGCACAGTGTCATGCAAATTCCGAATACATGTTAAAAATTATTCATATAAGTCATTTGAACACTGATTGCATATTGATGCTCATGGGGCTATTGCTATGGAAAAATCAGTAATAAGGGAAATACTTTTGTGCTTTCATTAATTAACTCTGACTTGCCTTGTTAAATCCATTTAAACCTAAATACCATTAATCCATGGGAAATAATCGTACTAAGAAATGTTAGCCATTTTTCCCCCATAGAATGCTCTTAATGTTCTTAATATTAAAAACAAGTATTCTATATAATGCATTTTACAATTACATTTTGCCAATACATATTGTAAAATAAAACCCAAAGTCCAGCATGGTAAGATATTTAAGTGAAGAACTAATATTTGTTTCTGTGAGGGTACTTAGTAGTTGAGAAATAATTGTATAAAAATAATATAAAATAAACCCAACAGTATATAAACTTAATAATAGCTAAACTTTAAATATGTTATTTTAAATCATTGTATAACTGAAATGTTTAACTTTAGTAGCTATTTAAAAATACATTTCAGTTGGCTCCAACAACAACTAATGAAGTATGCAGTGTACTGCCTTGGTATCAGACTTATATGCAATTGTGAAAACTGTTCAGATTCTTTGTAAGTATTTCTCTGGGAGAAAAGAGAATTAACTTTTAAGAGAAATAAACCATGTTCACTAGTCAGGCTAGGTTTTGATCATTTATATATTTTTAGACTTGAAATAAACAGCCACATTTTAAAAAAAAATATCAGAGGAAAGTAGTTTTTAGAGGAATGTTTTTCTCAATAAACAGTCACAAAATAGAGAATATCATTACTAAACAAAATTAAGACATCTGAAACAGATTATGATTTTTGAGTGATCAGTAACTAAAGAATAAATATCTGTTATTGACTATGACTGAGCTTTGGTTGTATTGTAGAAATAATAATGTTCTCAAAGTCATTTATTTCTGGACAATATTTCTACTGAATTGGGATATATGTACATGATTTTTAGTAACTAGCAAACTAATAAACAATTACATTAGTAAGTTGTTCTGCACCTTCTAAATATATACTTCCCCATTATTAGTAAACATCTACAAAGCAAGTGAGAAGGCAAAAGATGAAGTCAATTGATAAGCCTGTATATTCTAATCCTAAGAGCCTGTTACAAAATGGTGATGAGAGCAGTGAATATTCTTTCATAAGGAAGAAGGGAAATGTGAGAACCAAAAACACAATGTAAGAAATACTTGAGAGGGAGAAAAAGGAATAACCAACCACTAGATTCTGGAATAAAGAGAAATTGATTTACATTTAAAGAACATGTCCTAAAGGGGCCATTTTGTCAATGAAAATGTTACTATTTATTTTTAAAATATTATTTCTGAATCTACTTGCTTTCCAGCAGCTGCTGCAACTCAAAATTTGCCAATTTTGCAAGTCATTTAAATATTCCATATTATATATGAATGGAAAGATACACTATTAATTTCCTGACAGATGCAAAACAATCTGCTCTGAGTCTAAAATAAGTTTATATTCAATCAGTCAGGGAAATGTTTCCCCCTCACTCCATTTTAAAGAGTAGATACTTATAATTGCCATGAGAGAAAACAAAGTTAGATGGTATAATTTCATTTTATCATACCAATCAGGTATTCATTTTAAGGTCAGTAGGGTACTGAATTACCTTTAAGAATTTTGAAACAAATCTATGGTCATGTGGAATAAAATGCTTATTTCAACTACAGGATAAACATTTTTATGCTCTTTTAATGAGTAGCCCATTATAATGAGGAAACATGAGCTCTGAGTTGTTTTAGGTAATATCTGGAAAATACTGGCTTCAATACAGTTGTTCTGTTTCTAACCACCCTCTTTGAAATTCCCTACAAATAATAATAAATAATTAATAAAAGTTAGAAAAAGAGGGGAAAAAAATCCCCAAACCTACTTTTTCTTCAGTCTTCGATCCTTTTCAGCTTGAGTTCCGAGTTTGCCTAACCCCAGGGACTCCTGAGCTGCAGCTTCAGTCTCCATAAAGCCTCCTGTGAAGAGAAGTAACTAACTATTCAGATTATGTTGCATGGGTTGTGTCAATTATGAAGTCAGGTTGTCAAAGTTTATTTAAGCAACTGTTCAGGATCTCATTTTAAAATCCTCTTTATATTATTAACCTAACATGCATAAAATGACATGAATACATACATAAACATACACTGCGAAAATGAAAACAAAACAAAACAGTACCTATAGGGATACAATTTGTTGCACCCAGTGGCAACATAATAACTGTGGCCTGTACACTGACCAACACTTGAATATACTGTTCCCAAGTCTTGAAATCTATCTTTACACTTTTCTTATGGAAAATAAGAGCAAATATCTTTGTAGTGTATGAGATTTGTTTCTTTTTTCAACAATTTGCAATATTTCACATATAATGGGATAAATGACAGCCTATTGTGTAGGAAATGAAGTATATGCTTTCTATTACAAGTTGAGAGAATGGAAAGGCCTTTGCTGACTTTTAAGAGCTCTTCATAGCCTGCTCCTGAAACATTTTTCTGCTCTACTGGCTGACTCTTAAGTCCTTCACTATAAATCTTACTTCTAGAACTTGATGTGTTCTGGGCAGGTTCTTGTGTTGTGTTTTAAACTTCCTAATATTTTCTGAAAAAAAATCATAAGTCTTTCTTTAAAAAGCTTGATAAAAGTAGTTATTACCCTATAGGTCATAAATTCTCATTTAGTGTCAATATATAATATGTACATCTTATATAACTTTGTAATAAAAAGAGAAAGAAAGTGAAGTATAATGTACATCAAACATATCTCACAGGATTCCTAAACACAAAATTAATTTATAAATTATCTATCATAATTGAAAAACAAAGATTTACTCATGTTCTGAAGTCAAGCTAAATGAAAATGCTATTTTTAAATGGGTGAAGGTATATAAATTTTTTTAATAAAATAAATTTAAATTCCAGGTAAGCTAAAGATTAGGTAGGAAGATTTAAGCTAATACAAACTCTTACAAAGACTGTGCAAGAAACTTCCTCAATATATCAGTAAATAAGACCACTGAAGACAACTTTCACTCTTCTCTCATTGTAGTGGACACTTCCTTACTTTACATTTGCAGGACTTGACCAAGGTATGATTTCTCTTCAGCAGAGCAAAATATCTTACCAAAGCCCCAGAAGCAAATTTTGGTGTTACTGTTTTTAATAGTTTATTTTACCAAATAATTTATAGTACTGGACAATATTAACTTTGGAACATTGGTATAAATACATTAATCTCATTTCTGATAACTCCATTAAACTTTATAATTTTTTAAAAAGTCTCCTTTAATTAAAAACATTTATTGCTGTCTAGATCTAATTCAGAGAAGTGGAGTTTGAGGGTCAAAATTTATTTTTCTTATTATGCAAATGTTTAATTAATACAGGTACTTAAAACTTTTTTATTGTGAAAGATTTTCCTTCTTTGTATAGATTAGGAAAGCCTTCTACTGGTGACTAAAGTACTCTTGGGAAACATTTTCAAATGGGAAATTTTCCGTTATGTACTGTGAGTGAATATTTTCATTTTATTTCTCTCATCTGTATATTTGCTTCACTGTATATCAATAAATTATTATTCATAGTCTTCAAATAATAATAAAGTGTTCTCTTAAAATGTAAATGAAAATGAATGAGTCACTTAAAAGTTATAAAATTCTTGAATGGTCCATATGGGGACATAGAGATTGATGAGGCAGACCCACTCAGTAAACAATGAAACATTTTCAACCACCAGGTGGTTGGATGATTCAGGCTTTTATTCCTCCAAACGGTATTAAGAACATTTAAATTCCAATTTAATTTATTCATGTACCCAACATTTTAATAGAAAAAAAATAACATTTTAAAATAATAAAACTTGAAAGCAAAGAAAACTCTAGGATTATTTTGTGAGTTAAACCTAGACATTTTATTTTCTCATAAAGATAAAAATAAAAAGCATCACAAAGTTAGAAATACTCAGAGTATTTCAAAATCTCATACCTTGTTTTCAAAGCATTTGATAGATAATTGGAGCTACATCCTGCTCAAAATTCCAGATAGGAAGGGACTTAAGGCCATTGTAAGAAAAGTTATTTTTAAGCATCACATGCAGGACAATGTGCTTAACCAGGAGGAAAGTCCCAGCAAGTGCATATTTTCAGCCCCATTAAAGCACATCTGAGGGAGGACATTTCTTCACAGAATTGACGCAGCTGCCTCACTCATCTCATGTTTGTCTTTCCACATACTTGATCAACTGGCTGGTAAAGGTGACCTTAGCCAAACCAGCTTATTAACTCTTTTACTCTACGGATGATTAACTAAATCCAGTGAGAGTCTGTCTCATTCTTATCTAGGCATCAGTGGACCCATATGGTTATGTGAACTTCAGCAATATCTATTTATCTATACCAATATTTTATTCACTAGCTACTATTAAGCACTCGAAATATGCCTAATCCAAATGATGTACTGTAATCATAAACCTGTGTACATCAGGTTTTGAAAATGTGGTAGAAAAAAAGGAAGCGATGTAATTAATAAATTTTAAGTGATCATGTGTTGAAATGACAGTATTGTTTCTATATTGGGTTAAATTAAATGTAGGATAAAATTAATCCCACCTGTTCTTTTAACTTTTCTCAATGTGGCTATCAGAATATTTAAAATTACATGCATGGTTCACATTTGTGGCTTAATGTTGGCCAGCACTATATACCAAAGTTTCTACCTCGAGACAGTATATCCACAGAGGAAATGTAAATATTTATGTACCTTGAGAGAGGGTCCTTTTTAAAAAATATTATAATGATTGGCACATATTGGACAGGGGACAAGGATTCTAAACACCCTTCATTAAGTGGAGAATCTGTAGCTTGTTTCTTTTTTCTCCTTTTGTTTTTTTTTAAGACAGGGTCTCAGTCTCTCACAGCTTGGAGTGCAGTGGTACCATCAGACCTCATTTCAGCCTCAAATTCCTGGACTCAACCCATTCTCCTCCAAGTAGGTAGGACTACAGATGTGTACCACCTTGTCTAGCTAGTTTTTAAATTTTTTTGTAGACATGAGGTCTTGCCATGTTGCATAGGTAGGTCTTGAACTGCTGGCCTCAAGGGATCCTCTGACATCGGCCTCCCAAAGCACTGGGATTACAGATGTCACCTAGCTTGTCGTTCTCAAAATGATGAGTTCCCCAGAGGAGAAACACCGGCCTGTGGAAGCTAGGGGTTACTCATTCTTCAGGGGATCTATTAGGGAACTATGTGGAAAGAAGATAATGAACTCCACCCCTTTGTTGACCTGAGGTGCTCAGGCTTGTGGGCTTGAGCTCCAAGATTCAGTGGATGATTTACATAATAAATTGTTTATTGCCTTGTCAGTGTCTGCCTACTGCTTGTGCCTATGCAAGGCATCATCTTTGCCCTCAATGAAGTTTCCTTGGCTATCACTCAAGCACCTTTTACTTTTGCGAGGCCTCTGAGGCCTTAAAATTGTTGAGAGCAAGACCACTCCTAGGGTGTGACAGGTACAGTCAAGGATTTTTTTTTTTTGCCAGCCCCTCTTTCTATGTAAACAGATTTGAGTCACCAAAAAATAGTGAAACAACAATCTACTGATTCAATCTCATACAATACTGGTCTTGCCAGTGGGAGTGAGGGATTCACTTGCCAGACCACCCTCTTAAAAACAAGGTCAGACCACTGGCCCAGGATGACCCCACAGATGCAAGTCACTAGGCTCCCTAGGACATTTGGTCAAGTGCATGCATGGGGTAGAGTGTCAAAGAAAACCATGAAGGGGAGAAACAGGGACTGAGGCCCATGCTGTTTGGCTGGATTGGGCTGCATGTCCAGATGGCATTACCTCCCTGCTGGTCCTAGTGTCTGAATGATAACTAAGAAAATTTCGATGCTTCCAGTGATTAGAGGCCAGGTCCAGGTCTCTGCTGGGGGTGACTTGCCCAGATGGCACTGCCAGCCCTGAACTTTCCCAGACATCAGAGAGGATCTTAAAATTTTTCAAGGAAGATGCTACAAAATGTAGGGCTTGTGACGGCTCTGGGCTACAGGACTCAGGAAGGAGACCTATATTCCCAGGTCTATGGATGGAACTAGTTGGAGGTATCATTTGGATTGTGAAGGTGTGAAAGTTGTTAGAATCAAAATGTAGTCACTATTGTTAAGAAAACCCTGGAAAATAGAGTCAGGGAAGGTCATGAACAGAGGGTTCTCATGCTCGTATGCATGATAGCAACGACAACAACTAAAGATCCTACAAAAGCCACAACCTCGCACACAGGCCATTTCAATTTTATGCAAAAAATATTTCTATAGGGACATCTGTCTAGCAACTGCCTGTCCAATCTTTGACTGGTGGCACCCGTTATTGAGTAGCCAAAAGGTAATTATTTCAAAAAATTATGTAATCTTAATTATTTTGCCTTTAAAAATCTTTGTCTTTCTTTCCTTCCCCGGATATACACATAGTTTACTATGACATACATATTTTTATTGCAATGCTCTATTCGTAAATAAACATCTTTTCTTTTAGAGAGTATCTCTACTTGTTATTTAGATCAACAAAGACAAATATCTCCATGTTTCCCTGACCTTAAATTCCATTCAGAATAACTTACTTCATATTTGCTCTTGAGATACAAGTCTGTAAGAATTGCTTGCCAAAACCCATATTGCAAGGTCTCGGTCCCTCCATTTGTCCAGCAGAGGTCTCTGCCATTGTATGAAAAAGGGAGATACAACTCTACTACAATCTGCGGAGTAGCTTCATCTTTCTTTCTTTAGACCTGTCTTCATCATTAATCAATTGCACTTGGTTTGTATTTAAACACATTTGAATTTATAAATTGTTACTTAAATATTCAATGTCTGTTAGTCGCTATCTGGAGACTGTATTTAGAAACAGTGCCTGGCTCATAAAGGGTATGTAATAAATACAATCACAATTGTAGCTAAATGCTACTCTGAACACCATAA